CCAGTTATTAACGCTTTTTTCTGATGGGTGTGTTAGCTTATCGAACAAGAAGCAGCTGATTTAAAGAGCAAATTTGCTACCCCACGACGTTCTTTCCTAGAAGATTCAGCAAACGGTGAAGTTGATGATATGGATGTTATTCCTAACGAAGAAATGCTTTTGGTAAGAAACACAAATATGTATTAATGTACCCTTATGGTCCTAGGTAGATTTTTGCTGAATCCATTTTCCTTTTCTTACTTGTGTTTGCACCTCTCTTAACCTGACAACATTTGGCACCTGAAGATTCTTAGCGAGAAAGGCTATCTTAAGCGGATGAATCCTAACACCTTCAATTTACAAAACCGGGGGACAATTGGAAAATCTGTTGGAAAGATGCGAACGAATGACAATATGTCGGATTTCATTGTCTGCCAAACACATGACCATGTTCTTTATTTCAGGTATGTGAACCCTTATTGGGAAAATTCCTCTTCTATTGGAATTGAACTGTTTCAGACAGGGCCTTCCTGTGTATGTGGGAAAGTGATTCATAACTTTTATATAGTGTTTTCAGTCAACTAGAATGTTCAACTGAGTCCCTTCAAGTTCATTCCATTACTATTGTTTACAGCTTGTCTGGAATAGTGACATTTGAATTGCCCTTCATAAGCTATGGCACTCTACCAATTAAATAATATCTTGAAAACCAAAATATACTCTTGAAATATGTTTTCACATTTGAAGCAGTTCACATGGCTTGCCTGAATTTAAAATTTAAGTTATGTTTCATTGTTTTGTTCTCTCATGTAACTGGATTATTGAACGATGTTTGATTCAGTGACAAGGGGATAGTATACTCTGAACGTGCTTATAAGATACCTGAATGCACAAGAGTTGCTGCTGGGACTCCATTAGTACAGGTACAGGGCTTGATAATATGCCATGCTAATGCAATCTAGTAGATGACAAACTGACCGACCATTACTTTGATTGTTCGTCTTCAGCTGCTCAATTTGTCTGATGGGGAGAGAATAACCTCCATTGTTCCTGTGAATAAATTTGTTGAAGACCAATATTTAGTGATGCTGACTGTTAACGGCTATATCAAGAAAGTTCCTCTTAATGCCTTCGCATCAATCAGGTCAACAGGAATCATTTCAATGCGCCTGGTATACTATCTCATGTGTCCGTGTTTCTTCTGAATAACGTACTTCTGGGTTATCTTGAATTTGTGATGTATCATTTATCATTTTAACATGTTAGGTTCCCGGTGACGAGCTCAAGTGGGTCCGTCTCTGTAGGGATGACGACCTTGTTGCTTTGGCTTCACAAAGCGGGATGGTTATAGTCAACACATGCAACAGGGTAGGTTGCAAAAATGCATCTCTGTGTATTGTATTTTTTGTGATTAACTGATGCTTGCGAAGTCGAATGCCCAATGGTGCAAGTGGAGAAAATGTTGACTGAACTGGTTTTCCATGTGATAGAAAGTTATATACTCCAAAATATAAGGTGTATCGATTTTCATGCAAGTCAAACTTGTGTATGTTTGACTGAGATTATAGAATAAAATATGAACGTCTACAATACAAAATAAATAAAATTATGAAAAATACTTTTCATGATGACAAATTTGGTACTCTAGATATCGATATTTTTATCTAAAAACTTGGTCAAACATGCACAGGTTTGACTTTTGAAAAACCTAATACACCTTATATTTTGGAACGGAGGGGGTATGACGAAAGAAATATTGGGGCTTATTTTGATTTCTCAAATCACATGTTCGCAGATATCTGATAAATGATTGAGCTGAGCATGCCATTGTTCAGAAATATCAGTTCAAATAATTTTATCTAAAGCCTATCACTAATTTCAGCAAGTATTATCTTTCTTGTGTTATGCTAGTGACTTTAAATGTTTCAGAAGTGACAAGCAATGATACTTGATTTAAGTTCGCTAGGAACTATGGATCAGATATTTCTTCTGTTCTTTTATTGTCTGTTTCTTGTTAGAAATGATATTTTGTCTCCTTCGGATTTGTTTGCCTGCTGCTTCATGTGTACCATTTTTTCTTTGCCAATTTACTGACATCTATTCTTTATATTTAATTATATTTGCTCTACATCCCAGCTTCGTCCGCATGGAAGAACTACAAGAGGTATGGGTGCAATGAGGCTAAAGGAAGATGACAAGATGGCAGCCATGGATATAATTCCATCCACAACCCATACAATGCCTGGAAAAACTGTCAGCAGGTAGTTTGGCACCAATTTTTTTGAATTTTTAAAATCAGCTCGTAATTAGCAAGACCAGATGGATGAAGTTCATCAAAATTTAACAGTTCAGTAAAATACGAAGGAAGAAAATTTGTTCTTTTGAGAAATCCAATGCATTGATGATAGGTGAATTGTATTCAGTTTAGTTTCAATGCATTTAAAAAGTATCCTCTTTGACAAATGCTTTTTGATGCCAGTGGTTTGTGCAACATTGCAGTCTGAACTGCCCTTCGGCTACTGCCCAATCACTGACCAAATTATCTTTGAACTATTTATGCATTCCAGGGTCAGAGACTTGAGTCCTCCATGGCTGCTCTTCATAGCTGAAAATGGTTATGGGAAGCGTGTGCCCCTAAATGCTTTCCGTCAATCAAGCTTCAATAGAGTAGGCTTGCGAGGCTACAAGGTATAGTAAAGTTTCTGATTTACCGTGTTCAGCGAATCGTTTTGTCTAGAGTACCTCATATTGAATAAAACGTGAAGTACACCTTGGAACTTGTAGCTTCTGTTGTCACTGAAATTTGTCACGCATAAAAGATTCAAGTACATTTAACCTGAAAATAACCTTCAGATGGTTACATCATTCATCTGAGCTTCATGGAGTTGTTGATAGTATATGCTATTTTGGCTTGCAGCTTCCAGAAGATTGCCGCTTAGCTGCTGTGTTTGTCGTTGGGGAACCGACTGGTAACTTCTGCTGCAGTCCTTTTTTGTTTCCTAACGACAGATAAGCTTTGTTTTAACATGTTGATTTTTTGTGTGTACAAATCAAATGACAGATGACGATGCAAGTGAGGAGCAGGTTGTTTTAGTTAGCCATGGTGGCACTGTAAACAGAATCAAGGTCAAAGATATATCCATCCAGGGTCGTGCGGCAAAGTAATATTCTCTCTGTAGTATTCAAGTTCTTCTCGCATTCCCTTAAAGGTCTATTGTCAAATGCCACATCTAGTTGTGTTTACCTCATGCACGTTTTAGATCACTAAATCACAGACCTCTAGTTGTGTTTACCTCATGCTTGTACACTCGACACTAATTGCTCTGCTTGGTGTGCCACAGGGGAGTAATTCTGATGAGGCTGGAGCATGCTGGGAAGATCCAGTCAGCTTCACTGATATCAGCCACAGCCACGGAAGAGATCTTGGAAGATTGATTCAGCTTACGTTACAAGAAGGAAGAAGTAGATTCTGCTGGTTGGTGTTGCATTCCAAGCTGGGGAGAGCTGCAAATTTTGTTATGTTGGGTGGCTCATGCTGTTCTCCAGTAGAAGCTAGGAATGACGCTGGTTTGACGCTGATTCGGCGGGGTAGAAGAGTAGAGCTCTGGTTGCCATTAACGTGTGTCTAGAAACTGATGTACTCATCATGCCATTAGCAGTCGATGTAAATCTTGCACGCTGGGTTGCAGAATTTGCTTCTCTGGTCAGAGACTTCTCTGGTCAGAGAGACCCCTTCTGTTATCAGTGCTCTAATCCCACTTGGCCAGTGATGCCTTTTTTTTGGAGGTGGAACACCTAGCATTCCATTAAGTGGTGGTATCGTCGGCCGCAGCATAGTTTGACATGAGGAGATAGGTTGGAAGTCACGCAGAAATGGCCTTCCACCACAGCCCTAGCACCTTGACTAGCCAGCAAATGTTAGATCCAAATCTTGTTTCAGAGCAGACAGTCCGTGGCTAAGAAGACTACCCATTCCAAAATCTTTGACAGGTGTGTGGGGTAACTTTCCCGCTGCTGCAAAAAGGCAGACCCCTGAGCAATTTGGCCCAGGCCCCATCACCTCTAGTTTGGGATAAAGTGGCGTCGACATTCAGCATCACCTCCCCGCAAAATAAAAATAAAAATAAAAAAAGACATTCAACATCACCTATGGTCGTGGCTTCCCTTGGGCGGTGAGGCAGCTTTGTTTGGCTTATGTGATGAGTATAATTCCGACCATTCCCCGACAAGCGCCGAGAGCTGGAAGGTGAACTCGTTGGCATTCAGGCGCCTGTTCCCCGTGTGGCTTGTTCCGCTCAGTCCACCAGCTCCATTAACAGGCAGATGGTGCGCATCCTCGTTTGCTCCAGCAAGTTATTCAGGTGGAGATCGGGCACTATTATTCCTCAAGGCCGCACGCGAGCGCATCTATTATCAAAGTTCCACACCGCCAGCTAGCGATATTCCTACGCGAAGGATGATGTTTCGCCACATCCAATGATGTGCTATCCCTCCCTGGGCAGTTCTGTTTCCAGATCGAGCTCCTAACTTTCTCCTTCCAATCCGCACCTGATTATAACTTTGTATGCCGACTTAAGGAACCTTCTCGTCTTTGCCATGTGGGTGTGCCTTTTGAGCAGTTCCATGCTTATCCTCATCAAAGTAATGTGAAAAGCATATCGTACTCTTATCTTCTTCCCCAAGTGCTACCAACAAATGCGCAAATAAAAGTTGAGCAGTGCTGAATATATACAGGCATAGATAGACAGACAGATGCTTGGAACACTTATTACGAAATTGAACAGGACTCTCTTTAGCTGTTTACTTCAGAAGAAACATCTTAGGGCTCAAAATACAATAAAACAATAGTATGACAGTGAAACCACAGCCGGAGCTGGCTCAGTAGCTGTTGATCTCAGGAAAATACACAGTACATACGGGAATAGCATAGCACCATCCCATCCCAACACAATCCCTAGGTACCCGGTGATTCAATCGTCCATCCAAAGCGCTCCTAGCTCCTTCAAAATCTTGACGAAAATTTAGGACTGCAAGCACACGTTCAAATGGATGCCATTAATCAACCGACAAACAAGTCGTTGTAAACAAACTTCGCAGATGGAGACTGCATTCCTCTTCTAGAGAAGCAAGTTTTCAAGACAACCGACAAGGAAGTCTATGCATACCTTGTTGGCAATGTTGCTGGACAGCCAGTCCAGGCCTTCATACAGTCCCTCCCCTGTTGTAGCACAAGTGCTCTGGATGTACCTGCAACAACAACAACAATTTATTAAGTTGTCTGCTGAATTACCTAAACAATATGCATTACCAAGCCAAAGGGCAGCAGATCAATTTCGTTTTCTTCACACAAATACTGTAAAATTATATGTGTTGGTTGGGGGGAATGAGCCAGTTATAATGACAAGGATGACCATCATATACATCTTAAAATACAGAAAAGACAAGCAAGGGAAGTCTGCGCATGGCTACCAGTGTCGCTGGCGAAGGGAGTGCAGGCCAAGCTTATCAGTGATCTCAGCAGCATTCATGGCATTTGGAAGATCTTGCTTGTTAGCAAACACAAGCAGCACAGCATCACGTAACTCATCCTGCAACCAGTGAACATGTGAACTGTCAGCACTCGAAATCGCTGGGATAAAGTCCAACAAGTAATGCAGATGGGACCCTTTGAGTAGTGTAAGAATCTACCTCATTCAGCATCCTGTGGAGCTCATCCCTTGCTTCAACAACACGGTCCCTATCGTTGCTGTCCACAACAAAGATGAGACCCTGTGTGTTCTGGAAGTAATGCCTCCACAGTGGCCTGATCTGTTTTTACAAACATGGTAAACATTAGAATCCATTTTAACAAAAGATGCGTGACAAATCCAGAGAAGGGAGATACGAGCTCTATATTGTTCCATAGTGTATTAGAAATTAGGTGTGAGATACTAGTACATCATTACATTGCAGGTACTATAAAAACAATTCCTATATTGTTCCATGGTGTATTAGAAATTAGGTGTGAGATACTAGTACATCATATATTGCAGGTACTACAAAAACAATTCCTATATTGTTCCATGGTGTATTAGAAATTAGGTGTGAGATACTAGTACATCATTAGTTCATTACATTGCAGGTACTATAAAAACAATTCTTATATTGTTCCATAGTGTATTAGAAATTAGGTGTGAGATACTAGTACATCATACATTGCAGGTACTATAAAAACAATTCAGTTTCAAGGCGCAGAGTATGTTATTTATGTACCTTGTCCTGACCCCCGACATCCCAGACAGTGAAGCTGATGTTCTTGTACTCCACAGTTTCAACATTGAACCCTGTATTCGGAGGAAAGACAATTTTGAGAAAAAACGGAGAAAACATGTGTTGCAGATTAACAAATGTCCAAATCTGACCTCTAGTATAATATAATTTGCATGAAAGAACATGATGGTCTTGCCTTTTAGCACAATCCATAAAATGCACACGAGGATATTATACTGGCAAATTATATCATCCAATGACATTCAAAGCAAGCAGTCAATTTACAAAAGGCAATATTAAGTCAACTTCAGTGTACTTTGAGATAGGGTGGCTAGCTGGTTGTAGTGGCTTTTAATTACTCACTGGATGCTCCAAAACTGCATGAGCGTTACTATCAATGACTTCCTGTTGGCATATAGGGATTTGTTTGTTACTATCAATGACTTGCTGTTGGCATGTAGGCATTTGTTTAAAGGGAAACTTGACCATACCAAAGTAACTGGAACTTTGCCGAAGGACATCTAGCCCAGGATCGATTTTCTTATGTCTATATGTTTTTTTTGCGGGGTCTTATGTTTATATGGTTATAAGAAAGAAATGCAACAACTGATAAATCTCAGACTTGTCTGTCGTTTTGTCCATATATATATCTATGAACATAAGTGCACTACCCGTAACCTGCACAGAGATCCTGATGAACAAAACTACCTAACCATTTTTTAGATCATCCAACTACATACCCATTGATATCGTCATATTGGATATTCTAGCAGTTATTTAGGCAAACTTGCGTTTCAAAAATAGCACCGGCTGGGATCACATTGCCAAGCATTTGCATGTTCCGCTACAGATTCCCAATCTAAGCAATAACTTGGTATGAATAAATAGGCACGCATCACGCGATGCGCGCGGGACCGGTGCTCACCGATGGTGGGGATGGTGGTGACGATCTCGCCGAGCTTGAGCTTGTAGAGGATGGTGGTCTTTCCCGCGGCGTCGAGACCCACCATCAGGATCCGCATCTCCTTCTTCGCGAACAGGCGGCTGAACAGCTTGGTGAACGTGAGCCCCATCTCCTCTCCTCCCGCGTAGGTGCTCTTCCTCCCGGCTGGCCTCTCCTGCAACACAGAATCACGATCCCCACGCGTCAGACGGAATCCCATTTCGCTAGATCTACACGCGGCGCGCCAGATCCGGCCCCCAACGGAACGGCCGCGGGATCACCGATCGCCATGCGCCTGGCCCCGCGATCTACGCGCCGGGCCCGGGATCCGCGGGCGGATCCAGCGCGCGGCGAGGAGACCGCGGTGCCGGAATGGCCATGGATCCCTACGAGATCTACCGAACCGGCGACCCGCTCGGCGTGATCCACCGATGGAACGGACGGATCTCGCGAATGGAGGGGCGCGCCCGCAAAGGGGATGGAGGGAGGGGGAGAGGGTGGATCCAGGGAGGCGGGTCGGTCACCTGATCGGAGGAATCGCTCGATCCGCGGTGGGTTCGCCGGCGCCGGAGCCGGAGAAGGTGGGCGGAAACAGGAGGTCACGAGAGAGAAGGGGGAGAGAGTGGCCTGGCGTTGGGGCCTGCGGCGTTGTATTTAAGCGACGCGAGGGTGGAGAGCCAGCGCTTGTGTTGTACGGGTCGCGTCGGTTGAACGCGTCTCGCTCTATCGACACCTTTTCCATTGCCCGCAACAATAATCTCCTCACCAGTTCAAATAAAAAAACAATAATTTCCTCGCTCACCTTTTCTTTTCCTACAATATTATTAGTTAGAATGACAAAAAAAAGACAATACTGGCCCTTTTGCCAAATTAAGATTAAGAAATACCATGTGACATATTTTTATTTTTCTTTCAGAAAGACACAGAATACCGTATACGATATAGGAGTATCTCATAAAACTCTAAGCCCACAGGAAATGTTGATTCCTGGGCCATCGCGACTGGGAACAATGCTTGAGCCCGGTGTCTACCTGTTAGGCGAGCCTGTATTAGTCGCTTTGGTTTGGATGTCCCTTTCATAGTCGCCACTCCCAACATGTTCGTTCCCTTTGCTCTTGCCTTGGTCTCCTTTCTATCGGACACGGGAGACATGGAGAGAAAGGTGGTGATCTAGGCTTGCCATGGACAGGGTCTCCTTCCACAAGCGTCATTGGTGAGCACCACCTCCACCAACTCAACCCTCTTGTGCAAATGCCATAGGAGTTGCCAGAGAGAGTTGTGGTTGGCTCAATTTCATTAAAGTGTGTTTTTTGGGATCAAATTCATCAGCTCCCGCGTCACCATTTTGAACAAAGCGAAAAAAAACACTCCAACACTGGCCACTCTCATGCCCCGGTTTTGCGCTCTTCCCGATCTGGAACCCGGACTCCCCTGCCTTCTGCGTGTGGATGCAACTGCGTCCAGGAATCATCATCCACGTCAGTCAACAACTACAGATTAGTCTCATCTCCCACCTTGATTGAGACTATGGGATACGTGGCAGGCTTCTTGCATGGAGGAGCTCGTGGCAAAGCAGGCATCCCACGTGGAGGAGTGATACATGTTGGAAATATTAGCACTTTCTCGATTAATCTAATTCACGAGTGTACAATAAGCATGGCATAAATGGTATGCATCTCATAGCAATACCTAAGCATACTGGCACATACAGAACAAAGAAGCGGACCATCTATGAGCAGCACATATACGGCTAGTACAAGTACGAGTAAATGAGGGATAAACAGATCATACCCTCCGGTTGGCCAGGCCAACACGGCGGCGGCAGCAGCAGCCTCGACGTCATCCGTAGTGGATGCAGGGGAAGTAGTGGAAGCAAAGGCCGACGGAGTTGGGGACGGATCGGGAGCAGTCGCGTCGAGACGCTCCCCAAAAACCTTATTACCGATCTCCTGGGCAGGATCTCGAACGGCAGGGTTCCGGAGGCACCTGCTCTCCCGACCAACTGTGCACGCGATCGTCGAGATGGGATCGCCGGAGGCAGCACAGAGCAAGGAACAGTAGATGACGGCTAGGTTACGCGAGAGGGAGTGAGTGAACCGAACTAGGTCACTCCACTGGGCAAAGCCTTCTTCTATAGGCCGTCGGGTAGGAAGTTGTGGGCCTGGGCGGAGGCCAACGACCAAGTGAATGCACTACCGGCAAGGGAGTCGACGAATCCCAGCAACGCAAGAGAAGGGTCGCACTCCCGGTAAGGGAGTCGACAAATCCCGACAACGCAAGTCAGCCCACAGTCCAACGTCTCGGACAGTGGCCCACTTATTAGCGACTTGTTAATTAATCCATGATTAATTAATCCGTTCCTGAGTGGCAAAAGTAAGCTTCGGCTCAACTCATTCCTGCAGCCCGCGGCGCGCGTCGTGAGGAGGCGGGCGGTAGAGGAGGGGGAGCGCGCGTGAACCATTCCGCTTCCCAATCTCCCAATGGCAAGTGGTAGAGCAACCCTTATAAAGGGGTCTCAACTCTCCTCAACTAGCAAGATGAGACTAAACTTCCCACCACCTGCCATCTCATACACGGGCCTCAAGATTAACCAGGGATTAGTGTCTTATATGGGCCTAAGCCCATCCATAATCCATCAATACATCCATTTTGCATCATGTTTTCCTACTGTTATTTATAATGTTTTTTATGCATAATAATGCTTTATGGAATAATTCTAATGCCCCTTTTCTCATAAAATGCAAGGTTTACACAAAGAGGGAGAATGCCGGCAGCTGGAATTCTGGACCTGAAAAAGCTACGTCAGAGCTACCTATTCTGCACAACTCCAAATGAGCTGAAAATTTATGAAGAATTATTTTGGAATATATAAAAATACTGGAGCAAATAACTACTAGAGGAGGGCCACCTGGTGACCACAAGACACCAGTGCACGCCCTGGTGGGTTGTGGCCAGCCCGGCCCACCTCCGGTGCCCATCTTCTGGTATATAAGTCATTTTGACCTAAAAAAAGGGGGAGGACTTATGAGACGGGAACTTGGGCAGGAGCACTTTTGCCCTCCGATGGAGCGATTCTGCCGGGGACCCCCCCCCCTCCCGAAGGGGGAAATAGAAGCCATTGTCATCACCAACAACCCTCTCATCTTTGGGAGGCCAATCTCCATCAACATCTTCAACAACACAATCTCCTCTCAAACCCTAGTTCATCTCTTGTGTTCAATCTTTGTACCAGAACCTCAGATTGGTACATGTGGGTGACTAGTAGTGTTGATTACATCTTGTAGTTGATTACTATATGGTTTATTTGGTGGAAGATTATATGTTCAGATCCATTATGCTATTTAATACCCCTCTAATCATGAGCATGAATATCATTTGTGAGTAGTTACTTTTGTTCTTGAGGTCACGGGAGAAGTCATGTTGCAAGTAATCATGTGAACTTGATATGTGTTTGATATTTCGATGATATGTATGTTGTGATTCCCTTAGTGGTGTCATGTGAACATCGACTACATGGCACTTCACCATCTTTGGGCCTAAGGGAATGCATTGTGGAGTAGTTATTAGATGATGGGTTGCTAGCAACGGAAGCTTAAACCCTAGTTTATGCGCTACTTCGTAAGGGACCGATTTGGATCCAAATGTTTAATGCTATGGTTAGATTTTATCTTAATACTTTTCTCGTAGTTGCGGATGCTTACGAGGCGGTTAATCATAAGTGCGAGGCTTGTTCAAGTAAGAACAACACCCAAGCATCGGTCCACCCACATATCAAATTATCAAAGTAGCGAACGTGAATGAAACCAACATGATGAAAGTGACTAGATGAAATTCCCGTGTGCCCTCAAGAATGCTTTGCTTATTATAAGAGACTATTTTGGCTTGTCCTTTGCCACAAAAGGATTGGGATACCTTGCTGCACTTTATTTACCGTTACCGTTACTTGTCCGTTATAAATTATTTTGCTATTAAACTACCTGTTACCGACTATTCCAGTGTTTGCAAAAATACCTTGCTGAAAACCACTTGTCATTTCCTTCTACTCCTCGTTGGGTTTGATACTCTTACTTATTGAAAGGACTACGACTGATCCCCTATACTTGTGGGTCATCAAGACTCCTTTCTGGCACTGTTGCCGGGGAGTGAAGCGCTCTTGGTAAATGGAAATTGGTAAGAAAAAATTATTACTACGTGCTGAAATTTATTGTCACTTGTCACTATGCAAAACCATCCTTTCAGGGTTGTTCGGGGTATCTTCACCTCGACTGGAAGCACAATTAGTTGACCCTGAACCTACTACACCTACTAAAAATATTGGTTGTGAAATTCCTTCGGGTATGATAGAACAACTGCTAGCTAATCCTTATGCAGGAGACAGAACAGAACATCCTGATATGCACTTGATATATGTGGATGAAATTTGTGGATTATTTAAGCTTGCAGGTTTACCCGGAGATGAAGCTAAGAAGAAGGTTTTCCCTTTATCTTTGAAGGTAAAAGCATTGACATGGTATAGGCTATGCAATGATATTGGATCTTGGAACTGGAATTGATTGAAATTGGCGTGCAGAAGTTTCGCCTATTGTCAGCTGATACGTGGCTGCCGAAGGCTAAACCCGACTGAAAGTGCAATCATGCCCTTAATCATATTTTGTTGTTGATGACAACACATATGCTAGGGACTAATCATGTTTATCAAGTATATCTCAGGATTATGTCTCAAAGACCGTGTGTATGGATCATGACTAGGGACAAAAAGCATATAACTCAAGAATGGAGATACAAGACATTGACTTCGTTTATGGTTTGTTCTTGAGTATAGGTATCCCGCACTATTAAGAGGGGATCGTTGGATCTAGTGAAAAACTTTCTCAAAATCCACAACTCCTATTCTTTGTCTCCGGACGTCCGGTGCTCTACGGACGTCCGGTCCCTCTCAGCTGTCCGGACGTCCGGCTCCCTCCGGTCATCCGGTGTTCCTTTACAGAATGATATTTGCGGATTTCCGGAACTCTCCAGACGTCCGACCTCCGGTCGTCCGATAGGTCTCGGACGTCCGGTACTTTTACAACAGAACCATATTTACGGATTTTCAGACTCTCCGGTCATCCGGGCTCCAGATGTCCGGCC